TTTCAGCACCACCAAAAACGTGGTGCTATAAAATGTGAACATCGTGAATGTGTTTTCGTAGAGTACTTGTACAATTCGGAGCTTGAATATCTGGAGATAAACTAACTATTAAAGTACGAGAGACATTACATCCTGACGCCTTCAGATGTTGTTCTACATGCAGTAGGGCTACTGAGTCTAATGCTGTCGATACAGGTACTGTACATGTATATGGTAGAATGAATTTGGTGTACTGGTAAATTGAACTTTAATGCCTGTACCTCCTATGTTCCTGTATTTCAAATCACTGCCTCCTCTATTGTCATTTAGTAATCAGTGCGCCCTTTGAGAAAGGAATTTCGGTAATGATAATATCGGTTGCGTGATATGTAGGAAGACTCCGTATTAGCTTGCCGCTACTGCAAGCTCGAATACACTACTGTCGAAGGTGAGCGCATGGTGGGACTCAGCTTATTTGCGTTTCGCGTCTGTACTTGGCTACACGATACGTGCGTCACGCTGGGATCGCTTTTTATCAAGCGCCGGTATCCTCGCGTCGCATTGATTCCCCAAATTTCACTTTCCAGCAAGATCCGCTCAAGAGAAAACAGCATGCCGGAGCATATGGTGCTCTCGATGGTCCGCGTTTGTTTTGCCAGCGCAATCGCGTGACGGTTGTGCACTGGGCAACATTTATCTACTACCCAGGAGGCTTGCGCAGCGCTAAGGCGCATCCACCAAGCTCCACGCCCATGCCTACGTGCGTCTTGTACGACACCTCAAAAGAGAATATATACTACGACGTACAGAAAGCCATGGCTATCGAGGTATTCGAAATTAAAAAGACCAGCTACGTACATGTCGGTCGGGACAGTACAGAGAGGCACGCTGATGGAATTAGTTGTGGAGTGCTGTCGTTGGTGTTCATCGAGATGGCACTTACCGTGGATTCGTCGGGAGGGGGGGGGAGATGCATTCAAGGCACTGAGCTACTGCAAACTTCGCTACCTTCGCCACGGGATGGCGCTGTCGTCAAGTAAAGCTTGATTAGATGATCATCACAGTACATATTTTGCTGTGTCCAGTATCGTTCGGTATGGTTTGGTATAGAAGCCCAGAACAAGATCACACAATTGAAAACTTTGAAATACTAAAATCTACGGTAGCACACATCATTTCATTGCACACGCTCACAACCCCCATGCGATGGCGTACACAGATACGCTGCCCGGCCTCCGGCCGGTTGTTCGCTGCGGTACTCGGTTCGGTCATACTTGCCAGAACTCTCCACTATTCGGGACATGTAGCATCGTCCTTATTTCGTTCGAGCAAGCTAAACTGGTTTACCGGGTTCTATGGTTAAGTCGTCATTCCGACCATGTCGTCTTTTGATAGATGACAATTTTATTTTAAAAAATGGTTCTGTTCTGAAGCTCCCAGCTCGGCGCTGCGATAGCCACTCCGCCCCATAAGGGAGCACTCAGTTGGTGCGGCTCCGAACTGACCGGACTCACATATTTCTTACTTTACCAGCGACTACAAACGTGGTTTTGTAAAAACAAAAGATGAGTCTTTCAAAATACCCTAGATTTGCGATATCACCGCGACGGACGACTAATTTTGGAGCACGACTTATTAAAGTGAACGGTGTACGTAAGCTGTGCGTAATACACAGCATAATACTTCGGACCGAAACACTATCAGTAATAGTTGGCCCTACCGTCAACACTTGTCCAATTTATTTAAAACCAACCCGAGCAGTGAACTGTAAAGAGCCCCGCAAGCGGCGCTCTTTATCCCTAATTAAGCCGAGGCTGCCTTGCCTCGCTCGGCGGGTAGGTTTTTTTCAGATTTAACATTTGAAAATTCCCATGCAAACGAAAAACAGGTGAGAAAATATTATTGTTTTTTCGCGTTTTGCTCGACGGAGGATATTTTTATTCTGTATTAGTGATTGACCATCTTATTTAAAAAATATATCGGTGATTATCATGCTGATGTCCTTCAGATACTCCTGAGGACTGGATTATCTTACTTATTGTTGCCTAACAGCTTCTACCATTATTATCACTTTTTGTTAAATATAAGGACAAATCACCTTCCGAGTACACATTCGTTGTGGAGCCCACCGATAAATGTCCGAGACCCATCTACAGAAGTCTCCCTGAATAAGTGTAGCTTGCACTTCAAATACCCCATTGTATCGGATAACAGGAATTGGAGGTACAATTGACAAATCACCGGATGA